CCTGTGGAAACTAAAATGCTTGTGTTGAGTTATTACTGTCAGATGGCTCCATGTTTTCATTTTATTCAACACTGTGAGTCAGGTAATGTTAAACCTATTTCTGAGATGAAATTGCTGAGATGCAGGAATGGAAACTATTGCTAGAAGACCACAGTCCTGCAAATCAGCCCCGGTAAATCATGAACACAGAACTGGCTAGGGAACGCAGTGTTTCTCTAAACAATAAACTTGGCCCATGTGTTTGAGTGGTTCACGATGCTTTTGCACACTTGAGATTTATTGTATCTATTTAAAAATATATTTAATGCAAAGTTGCTTCTATTTGATCATGAATTAAAATGAGTGAAAAGCTTGTGACATCGTATGAGAAAAGTGGATCAAGGTGTGTGGTTGGGTTTTAACCTTTGCATTTAAATAAAGTAGACACTAGGGAAGTTTTTCACAGTAGTAATCAGACTCCTTTCCTATTACTTTCTTAGTCAGTGTTCTATGTGTGAAAAAAGGCCATGATCACAGCAACTCTTACAAAGTGAATCATTTTTTGAGGACTTGTTTATAGGTTCAGAGGTTTAATCCATTATCCGCATGGTATGGAACATGGTGGAAGGCAGTCAGACATCGTAGCTGAGAGTTCTACATTGAAATCCACAGGCAATTGAAAAAGGAGTGTGTTATTGGGTCTGGGTTGAACATTTCAATCTAAATGCCCACCAGCCATGCCACACTTCTTCCAACAAGGCCACATCTACACCAACAAGGCCATACCTTCCTATCCCCTCAAGTGGTGCCAGTCTCTGAGAACTAAGCTTTCAAATATATGAACCAACGGAAACCATCCTTATTCAAACCACATTTCACACCCCAGAACACATAGGTTTGTAGTCATATAATTATGCAGAAATGTATTCACTCTAACTTCATAAGTTCCCATAGTCCATAACAGTCTCAACACTGTTTAAAAGTTCAAAGTCTCTTAATTGTATCCTCCTGTAAAATAAAAATTAAAAAACAGATCAAATACTTCCAACACACAATGGCACAAGATATACATTAGCATTCCAGAAGAGAGGAAAGAGAATATAATGAAGACATATTGAAACAAAACAAGAAAAAAAAGTCAGTGAGCACACTGCACTTACTACATCTTGATGTTTAACGTCCAAGAGCTCTTGGATTTACCACTTATTCCAGTTTTGTTGCCTGAATGACTCTTCTCTCTCTTGAGCTGGTTCCACACTTGGTCTGCATACTTCTTTGGCAGGTATCCTGCTGTGGGACAAGGTCTGTAGCCTGTCAATTATATTTTAAATAAATGCTGATTGGCCAGTATCCAGGCAGGAAGTACAGGCAGAACAACCAGACAGGAAGTAGAGGCGGGTCAATGAGAACAGGAGAATTCTGGGAAGAAGGAAGTCCTATTCTACAGTCCTGAGCCAGCCACAGAAGAAGCAAGATGTGCCTGCCTCGCCGAAAAAGGTACCAAGCTACACGGTTAACAAAGATAAGAATAATGGGCTGATATTAGTTATAATGTAGACCTCTGTGTGATTTCTCTGGGACTTAATGATTTTGGGAACTTGGCAGAACAGAAAACCACAACAACAGTATCCCATGGCTCTTGCATTTTCAGCATATTGAGGTCTTCGAAAAAATCCAAGCTTCTCCTTCACAGCTTCATTAAGTGGTCCCTCTGAGTCTCCATGAGGGGGTCACTGCAGATACATGCTTGGCCTCAGCATCTTTCCTTAGCTGCAGAGGGAGATTCCATAACCCCTTTCTTGTTTTCTTGGCCCTGAAATCAGAACCAAATGGCCAAATTGTCTTAAGTTCTACTGTTTGCTGGGCCCCCTTGTTCAAATGTATTTCTACCAGTTTTCTATTGTTGATGGTTTCCGTCACTGCTTAAACTTTTCTTTAATTGCTTTCCACAGTTTGAAACTTAGCTACATCAGATCTTGTCTATTGGTTTCCACTCCATTTAATCTATTTAGCATTAGACTTTTCTTTGAAGTTTTTACCTTCTTTTTTATGATTTATTTAACTTTTATTTTTTTTATGTGCATTGGTGTGAAGGTGTCAGATCCCTTGCAACTTGATCTTCAGATAGCTGTGACCTGCCATACGGGTGCTGGGAATTGAACCCAGGTACTCTGGAAGAGCAGTCAGTGCTCTTAACCACTGAGCCATCATTTGAGCCCCGAGTTCTTGCCTTCTTAATTACAAAACGTAACTTTCTTACAACCCATGGTGCTCCCTTTCTCCACAAACTGTACATTTGTGCTTTTCTTTTCTCAGCTTTCTCCTTTTCATTATATATCTGCATAAGTATGATTACTACAAACCATATAACAGAGTCAACAGTAGGGTCTCTTGAAATCTCCTCTGCCAATGCCAGGATTCTTAAACTTTTCAATTTAGCTTATGTCAAATTTTTAGGACAAGAGAAAAAATAAGCAGCCACATTCTTCATCAAAATATCACAAGAACAACTATTAGGTCACTTCCTAATATTCTTCTACTTTAAAACTGTTTTGAGCCAGGCCATCATAATCTACATTGCTCTAAGCCCTACTGCTTTTCTACTACTTTGTCCCTTTAAACCATGCTTGAAACATTCAATGTTTCTCTAGTCCAAAATCCCAGAGTCTACATTATGTCCACAAGCAGGATGCTTAGGCCTGTCACAATAATATTCTGGTCTCTGGTACCTACTTCTGACTTAATCACTGCTCTATTGTTATGAAAGATGCCATGACCTAGGCAATATATATATATATATATATATATATATATATATATATATATATATGATGGAGGAAGGTCATTGGCTAGTAAAGGAACTGCCTTGGCCCATTTTATTGGTTAGAAGATAGGTGGGAGGAGTAAACAGAACAGAATGCTGGGAGGAAGAGGAAGTGAGCTCAGACTCCACAGCTCTCCTATCGGGAGCAGACGCCTAAGAGAGACACCATGATCCTGGCTCCTGGGCAGACGCATGCTATGAAGCTCCAACCCAGGATGGACATAGGCTAGAATCTTCCTGGTAAGCACACCTAGGGGCGCAACACAGATGATTAGAAATGGGCTAAATTAATATGTGAGAATTAGCCTAGAAGAGGCTAGATAGAAATGGGCCAAGCAGTGATTAAAAGAATACAGTTTCCGTGTAATTATTTTGGGTAAAGCTAGCCGTGGGGGCGGCCGGGTGCTGGGGATGCAGCCCCGCCGCCCCTATTTACAACATATATATATATATATATATATATATATATATATATATATATATATAACTGGGGCTTACTTACAGTTTCAGAGGTCCATTATCTTAATGGCAGAGAGCATGGCAGCATGTAAACAGACATTGTAGCTGAGAGTTCTACATCCAGATCCACAGGCAGCAGGAAGAGACGGACACTGGACCTGGCTTGTACTTTGAATAGCTCAAATAGCACCTTCAGTGACACACATTCTAAATCAAGGCCACACTTATTCCTAGTGTGAATTCCTTCCTAATTCCTCTCAAGTAGTCTGACTCCCTGAGGACCAGACATTCAAATATATGAGCATAGCTATGGAGGCCAATCTTATTGAACTCCCACATTCTTATCCTAGCTCCTTAGATTATGGGTTTATTTTATCTGTTGATGACTTTAATAATAATGCATGGCCACTTAGCATCTATTTATTTGTTTCTGCTTCATAATATATTGGTATGATTTATCCAAAATTTTAGAGAAACTATAGTTTATTAAATCTCATTTTTGAATTTATTTATGCAATCTATTCTATTTAACATAATATTTTATCAATTATCTGCCAATTTTATATAATATACTTTGATCATATTTATCCCCCATTGCTCATACTCCTCTAAGATCCACCTTCAATTCCCTACTCCAACTCTATATCCTTTCAAAAAAATAACCTCCTGAGGCCAATGTATCCTGCCCCAATACCAATAAGTGTGGGATCATCCACTGCCATGTGGTACAAAATACATTCTTAATTTGATTTAGGTTTTGATCATGACGAATAATGTTTCTATGAATATCTTTATGTTTTTGGAGAACACATGTATGCACTTCTATGACATTTAAATTATGAGAAAACTTATTTCTTATAGAGAATGCTAATGTTCAGTGATCAGATAACTCCAAGAATTTTTACTAAGCACCCAACAGAATTTTCATTCCCTTCAGCAGTGTGTGTGAGGTGTATTGTTTCTGCATATTCTCAAAGTTGACATTGTTTGCCTTTCATTGTAAATATCTAGTGCATATGTTGTCCTCAGTTTAACCTGCATTTTCCTGATGATGAATTTTCTTAAATAAGTACATGAGCAATTAAGACAGGTGTGGAATAATGATTACTTTATGATACATGTGTAGATATATACATTAGTAATACGATACAGGCTTGATCATATATATATATGTATGTCATATACACACAAATATGTCTGTTAAGTATATATACATAGGTATATATTGCCTTATATTTGTTAATTTATAATTCTTAATTTTTATCATTAATAAGTATGTATTAGGTAATATGTGCCAGAAACCAATTTAGAAACTAAATATTCAATGTTAAAGAACATATGCAGTTCTTTTTCTTCTCATTGTCTTGGTCTCTGTCTCTGTCTCTTGTCCCTGTGTCTCTCTGTCTGTCTGTCTCTGCCTTTCTTTCTCCTACATCTGAGGATCCAATGCAGGACTCTGAATATGCCAGGAAAGCATTCTAACACTGATAATATACATACAATATCCAGAACTTTTCCTTTTATTGAGACATAGTCTCAACTATGTAACATAAGTTGATCTTGAATGCACAATCCTCCTTCCTCCATGAGGAATATGTTGTCACACATGCCTCATTTTTTTTATTGAGCAGAAGAGGCAATGAAAATGGTAATCATAAGACAGGGAGATGAGAGCTGTTTGAATAGTCTGCAGAAGTATGGAAGAATATATCTTTTAACAATGAACCTCAAATTTCAGAGTCTTCACTGAGGATAAAGCATAACAATTATGAGAGAGCTGTCCTAGGGAGAAATGTGACCATCTTCTGCAACTTGACAAGTCTGGCAAATGTTGAGCAAGTCACCTGGCAGAAAGTTCAAGGTCCATTGCTTCAAAATATCGGCACTTACAGCCATAAATATGGAGAAAATATTTTCCCACCATATGTGAACAGGCTGCACTGCAAGATGCTGGAACCCAATGCCTCCTTCATAACCATCCAAAAAGTGACATTTGAAGATGAAGCCTGCTACAAGTGTCTGTTTAACACCTTTCCATATGGCAGCCATGGAGGACAAACCTGCCTTACTGTCCTAAGTATATAACCCTTTCTCTAGGGTCCCATAATGGGGGCAGACATTGTGGAGTTACAGTTACTAAGGACATTGTCCAGAGAAAGCTTCATTAAGAAAAATTGTTGATGAGTCCAAGTTACTTAGACAGGAGAAAAATGATGGGGGCCAGTGGAGTTTGTGTGTTCTGGCAGGAGCTATTACCTAGTGTCTCTTCTTTACATTATACTTCACAGGCTTCCATTAGGTGGAGAAAACCCAGGAAGAGCATCAGAAGTTTGTTACAAAGGCAAAGAGAAGATATGAGAAAAAAGGAGATAGTAGGGAATAACAAGGAAAGGTGAAGACTCAAGGAAACAGGGTTCCCAGTCTTCAAATAAGAAGAGTGAGAACATCAGAGTTCCTTATCATGCATATAAGTGTGAAATACTGGGATTATATAATATAATTTATAGCTGTATAGAAGTTGAGACAGCAGTCAGTGAACAGAGCAAAAGGTTTTGGAAGTTTTATGGCATGTGAGGGGACGTATACAAGAGGGTTAAGTTTTAGCATTCATGTGTCATAAAAAATTGGGAAAACAGCATCCTTTAACAGCAGATAATTTAGTAAGGACATACATTTATATTAATATTGTTTCCTTCTCTTTGCCTCAGCTGTATCTGAATTAGCAACCGAACTCCATCCTGTTCCTGGCTCTGAAGATCTCCTTAGCCTTCACTGTTCAGCGGTGGGGAAGCCTGCTCCTGGAATCTCCATTTACCCTTCACAAGTCCTAGTGTCCATGCGGGAAGAGTACTTTACCAAGAACCCAAATAGCACAGTGACCGTCTCTAAAATATACAACATCTCTTTGAAAACTGTTAGGTCCTTGGGCCTCCAGCACCTGGTTGTGTCCATGACTCACCCGCTAGAATATAAAGAGAAGATAGTTCCTCTGCCAGTAAAGCAGGAGGGTAAGTAGAAGTGACAGCAAATCAATGGGGACAACTGAAGCCCAGCACTCACATAAAAAGCCAGATGGGAGTATGTATGCTTGTGATCACAAAGCTGGGGAGGCAGGAAGGACAAACATCTGGCGTTAATTGGCCAGCCATCCTAGAGTAACCAGGGACTCCAGGAAGTGACACAAGTTAAACAGCACTATTGATTGATCTCTGCCTTAAAAGCACATATGTTTACACACACGCACACAGCCCCTCTCTAATGTACAGTCACATATGCATACATGCACAAACATGCACATATGTTTACAGACATGAGAGAAAGAGAGATAATAGAAGTTTATCTTTTAAAAATCTCTAATAAATGTCTGTATAAATCAGCTATTTTTGAAGAAGAAAACAATGTAATATACATGTATGGTTAAGCAATCATAGTGTAGTGTTTCAAGGCTTTAATCTCAGGCTTTGGAAAGCAGAGGCAGACTGATCTTTGTGAATTAGGGGCCAGCCTGGTCAATACAGTGATGTATAGGACAACCAGAGCTAAATACTTGGACCCTGTCTTGAGAGAACAAACAGCAACAACAAATCAAACAATGCTGACCATCTCCACCGTAACTTTCCTGCAGAGACAGAATCTTAAGATTACCTTTCCCTTACTTCCTATATTTTGTCATTTATGGGTTTCTGTTTAATTTTTCTCCTACAGAGAGAACTCGCTTTTTGTTTTCCTTTAGTTGAGGCTTGTAGATAGACATTTTAATATTATTGTCATGTACTATCTTTATGTTTTAAGCAACATTTCCATAGCACCTTAATTCATGTTAGGTAGTTTTTGTCCATTTCACCAATTTGGCAACAGTCATTGACTTTTCCTCATTTTTAATTTTTTAAATCAGCATATAATATGCTAGATAGTATTATGACATTTTCAAACATTTCAAAAATTCAAAAAGTGAATTTTTGTGGTTTCCCTTCCTCCCATTTTCTCCATAGCCCTGCCACACCATCGCTCCTGCCTTAGAGTTTCCTCACTCCATGTTAACTTTCCTCTTTCCGGTGTTGTCCCTGTGTTGACAGCCCCGATTCTACCTCATAACCTAATACTATTACTCTCTCTCTCAGTCACCTTTCCAGGATTTGTTAAACTTTTCTCACCCTTAGTCTTATTTACACACACACACACACACACACACACTGGCTATAATCAACATTTGTCCACATTTGAGGCAGAACATGTACATTTTGTCATTCTGAATTTCGTTTCTCCTTGTTTAATGTTCATGCTTTCCAGGCACATCTTTTTCTTAAAGAAAATTTCATGATTCTATTTCTATATATAACTGGACAATATTACACTGTGTGCATATATACTACATTTTAATTAGTCACTCATCTGTGGATGGATATCTAAGTTATGAATGGAACTGCAATAAGAATGGATATTCAAGTGCTTCTATAGTAGAACCTGGAGACTTTTGGGTATTTTCCCAGAAGTATACAGCTGAATCATCTTGTAATTCTCTTTATAAACTTTTGGGGTGCTTCCAAGCCAATGTCCATAGTTACAGTATCAATATATACCCCCAAAGCAGTGAGTGAGCATTCTTCTTTTCCCCACATCTTCTTGAACATCTGTGGTGCTTTTTCTTCTTAATAGTCCCTTGACTGGGGTGAAGTGGTATCTCAGTTTTAATTTGCATTTCCCTGATGTCTACAGACATTGAGTATTTTGAAAATTAGTTACTGGAGGGCTAAAAAGATGACTCAGTGGCTAAGATCACTGGCTGCTCTTCCAGAGTATGGAATTGGATTTCTAGGACCTATAGGGCAGCTAAGAACTTCCTGCAGTTCCAATTCTACAAGATCTATTGCCATTTTTTGGGCTTTTGGGGAACCATGCATATAAAATGTACAAAATACTTATATATATAAAATAGTCATAAATCTAATCTCAAGAAAAACTAATACATATGTGACTTAGTTTGAATTTCATTTATATTGTTTTTGTTGAGCTCTATATTTTTCTCTGTTCCCCTCCCATCCTCTCCTCTCCCCTTCTACCCTCTCCCATGGTTCCCATGCTCCAAACTTTCTCAAGAGATCTTGTCTTTTTCTCTATCCCATGTAGATTAGATCCATTTATGTCTCCCCTAGGGTCCTCATTGTTGTCTAGTTTCTCTGGGATTGTGAATTGTAGGCTGGTTTTTCTTTACTTTATGTTTAAAAGCCACTTATGAGTGAATACATATGATATTTGTCTTTCTGTATCTGGGTTACCTCACTCAATTTGATGTTTTCTAGATCCATTCATTTGCCCACAAATTTCAACATGTCATTATTTTTTTCTGCTGTGCAGTACTCCATTGGGTAAATATACCACATTTTCCTTACCCATTCTTTGATCAAGGGCCATTTAAGCTGCTTCCACATTCTAGCTATGATAAATAATGCTGCTATGAATATAGTTGAGCAACTGTCCATGTAGTAGGATTAAGCATCCTTTGGGTATATATTCAAAAGTGGTATTGCTGGCTCTTGAGGAAAGTTGTTTCCTAATTGTTTGAGAAATCACCATATTGATATCCAGAGGGGCTGTACCAGTTTGTACTCACATCAGCAATAGAGGAGTGTTCCCTTTACCCCATATCCTCTCCAGCATAAATTGTCATCAGTGTTTTTGATCTTGGCCATTCTTACAGGTGTAAGATATAATCTCAGAGTTGTTTTGATTTGCATTTCTCTGATGAATAAGGATGTTCGACATTTTCTTAAGTGTCTTTCAGCCATTTTAGATTCCTCTGCTGTGAGTTCTCTGTTTAGGTCTGTACTCCATTTTTTTTTATTGGATTGGTTTTTTTTTTTTTTTTGATGACCAATTTCTGGAGTTCTTTGTATATTTTTGAGATCAGACCTCTGTCTGATGTGGGGTTGATGAAGATCTTTTCACATTTTATAGGCTTCTATTTTGTCTTGTTGACCATGTCCTTTGCTTTACAGAATTTTCTCAGTTTTAGGAGGTTCAATTTTTTAGTTGTTTTTCTCAGTGGCTGTGCTGCTGGGGTTATATTTAGTAAGTGGTCTCCTGTTCCAGTGTGTTCAAATGTACTCCCATTTTCTCTTCTATAAGGTTCAGTGTGGTTAGATTTATGTTGAGGTCTTTGATCCATTTGGAATTGAGTTCTGTGCATGGTGATAGATATGGGTCTATTCTCATTCTTCTACATGTTGATATCCAATTATTCCAGCACCATTTGTTGAATATGCTTTCTTTTTTCCATTTTATATTTTTTTGCTTTGTTGTCAAAAAATCAGGTATTCTTAGATGTGTGAATTGATATCTAGGTCTTCAATTTGGTTGCATTGGTCCTCTTGTCTGTTCTTATGCCAGTACCAGGCTGTTTTCAGTAGTGTAGCTCTGTAGTAGAGTTTGAACTCAGGGATTGTGGTGCCCCCAGAAGTTCTTTTATGGTATGGGACTGTTTTGGCTATACTGGGTATTTTGCTTTTGCATATGAAACTGAGTGTTGTTTTTTTGAGGTCTGTAAAGAATTTTGCTGGGATTTTGATGGGCATTGCATTAAATCTGTAGATTGCTTTTGCTAAGATTGCCATTTTTACTATTTTATTTCTACCTACCACAGAGCATGTGAGATCTTTCCATTTTCTGGTGTCTTCTTCAATTTCTTTCTTCAAAGATGTAAAGTTTTTGTCATACAGGTTTTCCACTTGTTTGGTCATAGTTACTCGGAGATATTTTATGCTATTTGGTTATTTCTGAAGGGTGTTCATCAGTGAAAAGGAGGGTTACTGATGTACTTGAGTTAAACTTGTATCCTGTACATTACTGAAGGTGTTTATGAGTTGTCAAAATTCCTTGGTAAAATTCTTGGGGTTGCTTATAGAAACTGTCATATCATCACCAAATAGTGAGAATTTGACATCTTTTCCAACTTGTATACCCTTGGTCTCCTTTTGTTGTCTTACTGCTCTAGCTAGGACCTCAAAAACTATATTGAGTAGATATGGAGAAAGTGGACAACCTTGTCTTATTCCTGATTTCAGTGGGATCGATTTGAGATTCTCTCCATTTAGTTTGATATTGGTTGTTGGTTTGCTATATATTGCCTTTATTATGTTTAGGTATGGTCTTTGTATCCAAGACCATTATCATGAAAGAATGTTGTATTTTGTCAAAGGCTTTTTCAGCATCTAAAGAGATGATCATGTGGGGTTTTGTTTCCAGTTTTTTTATATGGTGGATTGTTTTGACAGATTTTCATATGTTGAACCATCCCTGCATCTCTGGGATGAAGCTGAATTGATTCTAATGTGCTCTTGATTTCGATTTGCCAGTGTTTTATTGATCATTTTTGCATCAATATTCATGAGTGAGGTTGGTCTGTAATTCTCTTTCTTAGTAGTGTCTTTGCATGTTTTGGATATCAGAGTAATTGTGGCCTCATAAGAATGATTTGGCAATGTTCCTTCTGTTTCTAGAGTGTGGAAAAATTTGAGGAGTATTGGTACTAGTTCTTTGAAAATCTTGTAGATTTCTATGCTGGACTTGGGCTTTTTTGGTTGGAAGACTTTTGATGACTGTTTCTATTTCTTTAGCAATTATAAGTCTATTTAATTTGCTTATTTGGTCTTGATTTAATTTATCAAATGATATTTATCCAGAAAATTGTCCATTTCTTTTAAGTTTTCCAAATTGTGGACTATGGGTTCTTGAAATATAACTTAATGAGTCTCTGGATTTTTTCCATGTCTATTGTTATGTCCCCATTTTCATTTCTGATATTGTTAATTTGGGTAGTCTCTCTCAGCCTTTTTGTTAGTTTGGATAAATGTCTGTCTATTGTATTGCTTTCTCAAAGAACCAACTCTTTGTCTTATTGATTTTTTTGTATTCTTTTCTTTGTTTCTGTTTTGTTGATTTCAGCTCTCAATTTGATTATTTCCTGTCATTCAGTCCTCCTGGGTAGCTTTGTTTCTTTTAGAGTTTTCTA